ATATATATATATATATTATGGAAGTAGAACGATAAAGAGATACTTGAAATGCGAATTGTGCGAAGGCTCCTAAGTGCTGCTCCGCCCGATTAAATGAACCGAAATCGGATCCAGCTGAATTTCCGATCGCTTCTTTTCGAAAAATATGCTATAGCATAGAAATACTCACACACCTATAAACACGCGTGACTGATTTATAGCGAATGATTTGCGTATGCATCTATGTATGTATGATATATATGTATGAAGTATGTATGCTGTCAGTACATGCATACACACATGGTTAATTGATGAAACTTATTGTATATCCTCCTTACTTATGAGCACATAGGCTGTTTCATTCGCGGTTATCGACGTTATCAGGTGTATAGCTGTACCCAGCCGTGTGCACGAGTATATCTCGATGATAAGCCGAGCGGAATGGCTAGCTTACAGCCAATGTCTATAATGATTATTACATTAAGTCTTCTCTGGCTGTATTATAATTTTAATAGTTTATATAATAATTGAGATGATTATATATACATATATATGTATATTATATATACAAACACACCTGTATACATATAAATACACACAAATTAAATATAAAAATAAATAATTTAACAAAAAAAGATGCGACGAGTGTGAGCCAAGTAGTAAAACTGTCTTTGGATCATTAGTGCTTGTATATACATACATTAGTTGTGATTGTATGAAGAGAGGCAAAAATATAAGCTTCGCTATAAAGAAATATTTATTTTATAGCACATTCACGCGTGATCGCTTTTCCGGCGTCTCTTTTAATAGTCATATCCATCATTGTTCGCATGAAAGGCCGTAATTGTATTATAAGAGATTTTGTTTTATCGAATAAATTATATTGAATCAAAGATAAAGGTATGTAGATGCGATCTGAATTTTTAGCGATTAAGAGGTAGAATATTTTTTACTAGAGATCTTTTCTCATTCAAGATTTGTAATGCCGCTCGCATTCTTTACAAGGTCAATTTTTCCTGGCCTTTTCTCTGGAAATTATTTTTACTGGTATATTTACGAAAGATCTAAAATGCCTTTTGAGCAATTTATAAAAAAAAAGTCAAGAAAATTTGATAGATTTTGAGAAAAGTGTAAAATTACGAGCCGTCGAATATTCTCATCATTCGGTCTCTTCCGGTTCGCATTCCGCGTGTTCCTCATTCCCGTCATTTTAGAAAAGAGCGGCCGAAAAGTGAAGACGTGAAAAAGAGATGTAAAGAAAATAAGTTTCGTTTTTTTCTGATATTTAATATCTTTATATTTTGATTACTGCAAATTGATTTTTCATTATTTTTAACTTTTTAGATGATAGATTTGAATTAACCATTATTATTTTAAATGTAGCTCGCATTCCAATTGGTTATGCATTTAATTGAAAATTATCCGAATCATGTCGAGTTTGATGTACAATTTGCCGCAAAAGAGTTTCATTAATCCATTAAAACTACTTTTAAAAAAAAATAAATTAAAAATATAAGAACTTTAGTTTTTTTATGTTAACAAAAAAAATATAAAGAAAAATAATATAATTTTTAAAAAATAATGAAAAAAACACGTTTTTTCCAACTGTTTTTTTTTTCTATTAGAAAAAATGGATTTTTTAATGAAAAAAAACCAAACCTTGTTTTTTTTCAGAATTTTGTTTTTTTATAAAGATATTTAATATCTTTATATTTTGATTACTGCAAATTTTTCATTATTTTTAACTTTTTAGATAGATTTGAATTAAGTATTATTATTTTAATAGCTCGCATTCCAATTGGCAAGATCGGGAATTAACCTTTCGCCGTATAATATATATATATATATCCCCTTCGCGTCGAGATGTCCGCGTTATAGCTGTCAAAGTACGCGTGCGATCGCCGGATTCGCAAACGCCGATCGTTAACGGCGTAGCCGGCGGCGGCGTTTCTTTGTGGCAACGCCGGACGCGATATCGACTCGTGTCATTCGCGACGGTCGATCCGGCGAGGCCCGCCCGCCCGTCCATCCATCCATCCATCCATCCATCCGTCCGTCCGTCCATCCATCCTTTCTGTCCCGTCCGCTCGCCAGCGGCCATAAATCTCGTCGTAAAGCTCGAGATTCGAACAACGAAGAAATGGAGAAGTCGATCTCGTTCTTGGATACCCCCATAGGGGCACGACGCGCGCGCTAGGCGTTGCTAGGCGTACTCTCGGCCAGCCACGATCCTTCCTTCCTCCTCGCCGTCTCGGTAGATAAGCGGCGAGCTCGCTTCGTCGCGACGTCGTGACGCATAGGCACGCACGACGCGACACGGCGAGTCACTTTCGCTAATCGCCGATCCGGCTTATTACTACGGGCGAGCGGGCGCGTAGTAACTCGCGTGTTCCGCTCGTGGTGTCTGGCCTTGAACGCGTACGGAGAAATCACCGACCGGGTACGATCGACCGAGGAAGAGAGACAACTATGTTCTCTTCTCCTTGTCCTTCCTCTTTATCCTTTTTCTCTCCTCCTCTTCCTCCTCTTCTTTCAGGCTTCTCGAGCCGAAAGATTTGCGGGAACCAGGTAGAGAGATCCATAATCTGTGCAAGGTTTGTAGATTACGGACCTGCTTGTGATTTTTCCACACAATGAGAATAGGTATTTCTTTTTTCTTTCACGACGAGAGAGAGAGAGAGAGAAAATAAGAGATGAAATGGTCTCTGCCAGATTCATTTTAGGAACAGAATCATAGATAAAATGGTCTTTATGGATTATTTTATCGACTATTTTATCGTTTCTGGTTGATCCCTATACATTTTCAATATATATCGACGCGAATACGTGCGAGTATCAAACGCATCGCGCTAGCTGACCGTATCGATTACGCTCTTGTCATCGAGGTGAATTTTCGATGATAAGAAGAGTACCGATCCGATTCGCGATCTCGTTCCTGGCGAAAGCAACGCGTGTTTCGTACGCCACGAGTGGGAAAGAGGTATGAGGGGGGAAGGGGGAGGGGACAATCGAGCGGATGAAGGGGAACGGGGGG